GCGGATGAAATTACGAGGGCGTACGGTACGGCCCAAAATAAAAGTAACTAAATGTGTGTAGGGTGAGAATGCGCGTAACTGAGCCGAATCGCGTACGGCCGCGCGGGTGTAAAGACAAAGCGGACCGCGGTGGATGCTCGCGGGAAATAACTCGATTTTTTCGGTGCTGTTTTTAGATATATTTTGAGGCCCAGTCCGTTTTCGGCGCAGAAAACGTTCGAACGGCACAACAGCCGCAGAAAGTCAAACATCAGTTTCAACTCGACCATCGGACAGCTGGGGTTCAATTCTAGAAGGGGTTCTAGCATGGCTTTCCCGCCGTTCATGACCAGGCCACCGCCGTTGGTCACCACCAAAGCCAACAGCTTGTCGTTACCGGACAGCCCGACGGTGGGCAGCGCGCTCCGGGCGCGGTCTAACTCGCTGCGCGTGGTCGACGACATACTGCTGAGACGGTCCAACTCGCTCAGGCAAGGCCTTTCCATATGCAACCGGAAGAGCAGCCTCGAAGAACTGGGAGTGTCGCACTTTCCCATCGGGTCCGTTGCCCACGAACGTAGACCCAGTATGCAAGTAAGCCTAAGCGCTCGATCAATGAGAAATATCGTCACCGCGCGAAGGCGATCTGAGGTAACTGCAGTGTAGTTATTTCAGCTAGCCCCGATGAAATGTCATAATAATAATATGCACACCTGCAGCTTGCCGTATTAGAACTTCCTCTACCTATATAGTATATATATAGACATTTGCACTATAAACACCGCCGCCAGCATCGGTGGATCACGGCACTCGTGACGGGTATAAATCTTACATTTTTTTTCCCCCTAAACTTTTTTACGTATCTTGCATTTATTTTTTTATTTATTTATTTTTTTTTTTTTTCCGAGCATATTTATGAATTTATGACCATTGAGATCCACCGCTGCAACAATGATATTCTTCCATTTCTCCACGACGTCCATTGATGCCTACTCCGATCATTCTGAAGGTCTTCCTTTACACGATCCGACCACCGTTGTCTATATTATTTAGACCATCCTATAGCTCGTTTCGAGTCCAGTCTCCGTCTTGCTATGTTCCTTGCATTATTATTATTATTATTATTATTGTTATTATTGTTATTGTTATTGTTATTGTTATTATACTATAAGTTATATTTTTGATATGTTTTCGTCACTATAGCTACATAGTTATAACATAATAGTGGTTCCGCTCGTTTGTTTTACCATTTTCTTCCGTATCATTCGGCTGTCGGCCGGTTCGTTAAATTATTATACCGTATCTTATACGAATCGAAATTGTTTACCCGCTTAGAAATGTCCATCAACGCCCCCGCGCAGTGTTTCCTATTGCAATTCTCGTCTTCCGTAGTGCGTATTTACATATAGTTAGTAGCCAATACCCGCTGAAGATTATATTTTAGTGTTTACCAAGCCCGGGCAAGTCAGTCAAATTTGCATATAGTTAAAATAGATTAAAATACTAAAAAAAAAAAATAAAATAAAATAAAATAATTAACTATCTGTTAATTTAAGTTACTTACAATTTTATTGACACAAACTCAATTAGAAAAAAATTTAATTATAGTATGACAAAAGTTACCGAGATAAAAACTAATATTTTGTTTACAATTACTTTTCTTTTTATATACCTGGATTTAATTATTTTATTGTCATAATTCATTTGTACAATATGTCACACACATTAAATCTGAATAAAAACGTGTTCTCGAAATACTGTTATTTGGCATTCAATATAAGCACTGTTGGCATCGTGTTACAGAAACGCGTATTTAAAAGCACCATACGGTATTTCATTTGCGTAAAGGAAATTACATAATGTTTTCAAAGATTTTTTTTTTTTTTCAAACCTTTTTTGATCTAATTGCGGTTCGATCAGTTCAATTAAATGTAGACAAAAAGTACAATTCGACCTTCCGATAAAATCTACAATCATGACTTATACTAAACAATAATATAGGTGTTGGGTTATAACTTAACCCCGTCAAAATGCAGGTTATAACTTTTTATTTTAAGTAACGTTTTGTAAGTAACATTGGTTTTTTTCAACCTAACGCCATCAAGTTATAATTCTTTTATAAAAAAAATGTAACTAACCAAGTTACTTAGTTGGTTTAATTATAATGTAAATCGTTAAGTTAAAAATCACTTCTAACTTTCAAACTAGTTAGTGCCCAGTCTTGGTGTTGACCATCCAAATACCTATAGTATGAAATATAAATACCGTAATAACTGTTGTAGTAGACGACGATGACGAAAAAAATGCCTGTATGGTACCCGTAGAGAAGTGTAATGTTTAGTGATGTGACATAAATCCGAAAACCCTAGATTTCACAATACAGGTTTCTGTTTAATCTTTTTTTTTTTTCTCTCTGAAAATCTATATTTTGTTATTTCTTTTATTTATATAATAGTTATTGAATACATTTCTGATTAAATCGCTTATTTCATGAGTTCCCTAAGTATAACGTTACTCTATTAATGGGATGAGTGCGATTGTTATCAATACAAAACAATAGCTGATACTGCTGATGGGTGTGCCTGATGGGTGGCAAGTTGGAAAGGTTATTGCATACAGTTATTTAATTTACCTGTTTATGAACTTAAGTGAACAAACTCATCATTTCGGAAAGTATTACATTTTTTTTTTTTAAATCTATAAAATGAGAGAGTTGCGGGACATTAGGAGACATCGTAGTTGCAAACCTTAAATGTGCGTTGGTGGTTAAGCGAGTCCCTTATACCATGGACAATTAACGATCGTAGCTCAGGTCCCCTGTGCTTGGCACCACACCCTGGCGAAAAGTGATTTCGTACTGATAATGAGCGATTTTCCTTTGTACAATCCACCGTTGAAAAGGTGCTAAGAACGCCAGTATCTTATTAACTATCGCGTTNTGATAATGAGCGATTTTCCTTTGTACAATCCACCGTTGAAAGGGTGCTAAGAACGCCAGTATCTTATTAACTATCGCGTTTGATTCCTGTACAGATAAAACTAATCTAGCTGCCGAAACAACTAATAATAATTTTATTTGACACGGGTCCAACCGCTTCATTAAAACTTGTTCTCGTTGAGTATTATAATGGTCCAAACTATAACAAACAATGGTAAACTGCGCACATATTGCCTACCTCTAAACTAACAATTCAACTAAACTAGTCGATTTTTGTTTTTTTTTTTGATATTTAGAACTTTAGACCCTTTAGGGGTTTCTGGAATAAGTGATATATATTACTATGACTGTTTTGAATATTGTACAGGTAATATTCGAATTGATTTCAAAAGCGATTTTAGATAGTTATACCTAGTTAAAGTTTAAACGCATAAAACAACACAAAATAATTATGTGTGCTATAGAATATTGATAATCCGAATTATGGAACATGTCCGGATTTATGTCCCATCGGCAGCGGTTCCAATGATATACCCATACCTATACCTGATTATGTTATTATATTATTATGTCGATTCCATCCAAATAGTGTGCGATGTTGTTGTAGTGGCCGATTTACGTATTATATTAATAGCAATGTAATAGTTTCGGTCCTGTTTTGGAGCATTACTAATGTATTTATTGTGTCTCTCCGCAGCTGCACCCGAGCGAGATGAGCGGCAGTGCCATAAAGATCGCCCTAAACGGTAGCATCGGGCTGGAAGTGACGCCACCAGAAGAAGTGGCCCCGCCGAGCGTGTCCAGCAACACGAGCATAGTAACGGTCCCTTCGCTTCACCACCAGTCGGTCGCGCAGTCGCCGGCCATGTCTCCGCACTCGTCGCAGGAACACTTGCAGGTATACCTAATATACTCAGAGTTAATGCAGAATTAAAACGTTGTAAAATATCCGCCGCCATTTTTAAATTTGTGACATTTCTAGGTAGAAACATACTTCCGGGCATAAAATATGAAACTTAATATTTATTTTTTTCTTTTCATTCGTCTAAGTAATTTTTTTCTGACATCATCATAATAATATCATCGCCCACGGTCCGTTCTCACTAAAAAATATTCCGTACATCAAAATGTTCTCCATAAAAACATTCCCATTTATACAGTGAGATATAAACTACTAAAGATGTTTGAAAATGCAACTTATCCGGTGTTTCTTATTGTACGCAATAGAGATAAATGCGAAATAATGAACCCAGAAAAAAAAATGATCGAAATTCTGAACTTGCGTTTCAAACTTGCTTCTTTTATATTAGGAACGTTAAAGGATATTTTGAATAAGGAATATTTTTTAAAGTAGAATATTTTTAAGGGTGCACCATCGCATTTGGCTTTTGAGTAAAAACATCTTCACATTTTTCGATCTACCCTTTACAAGTGTTCATTTTGCAAGTTTCGAAAAATGGAAATTCGTCTTACTTATACATCATTACCTACTATTGCAGGGCACAATTGTATGATACAACTTGATGTGGGGCAAACGGAAGAGCAACAACGCTCGCAACAAGTGGCTGTGAATTCACGACCGCCGCACGTTCTTCCAGATTGCTTCCACATCTTTCCGCCAATACAATTATAATAATATACCATGACGCACGACGTGAATTGCTTGCGACGACGACTTCGGCTGCGGTTTTCATCGTTAATAGATTATGTCGTGATCCATGACACACACACACATACACACAAACACATACAAACGCGCCCAGTGGTGCTAATGTTCCAGTCACCCACTAAAAGCTGAACTGTACGAATCCGGACTATGTAAAAGTGCATAATTTAAACCTGTAAAAATCCAGATTTTCGCTTATAAGGTTAAACTAATTCACTATTGTATCAACTATATTTCCAATTTCAATTAAAATTATATTATTAGGAGGATTTATTATCTACATATTAGTTTACTGTCTCGATCAAACTATGAATGAAAACAAATTGCATTTTACTTTTTAAGAGTTAAAACACCTATTACAAAATTTAAAGAGATATATTTTTTTTTTTTTTTGAATGCAGTAAATTACTGTTTTCGGAAACATTAATATATAAAAAGAGCTACAGGCATTTTTTTATACATTTGCGCGATATTTTAAATACATTTTAGCGACGTAGTACTGTCTTCGGAAATATTTTTCTCTTTAAAAGTTGTGATGTACTGAACTTTGATTTCTGCAATATCATTGGTACAAATAGTGTTCTATATAACATACTTTTGCTATAGTGTCCGACTGTTAGACTTAGACAGTAAATTCAGGTATAGAAAAACTCAAAACTAACAATTCAAATATTATGTATTTAAATGACTTCGGTTATAAGAAACCGAACTCATTTTTATTTTAATTCATAAATTCGTTTAATTGAATGGCGTTGTCAAAATGTAAAAACAAACAATTAAAAACAGTAGAATTTCCATTAAATTAGAATAATACAATAAGTTTCAAATACTCGCAATAAATATTTCTGAATTTAAACTAATTTAAAGTTCTTTCTCATGTGAATCATTTAAAGAACAAAGAATTTTTTTCGGTTTTGAATTCTCGTTAAAATTTACTATATAATATGTAGAACCTTTTAATAATTTATAAAACCCGTTCATGCCCCTTAAATGAATTTGTTCCTTCCAACATATTTTAAGACTACAGATTTTTAAGCAAAAATTGATTTTATTGCGGTTATCCGTAGACAAGTCAACGCCACTGTACACACACACACACACACACACACACACACACACATACACACACACGTGCATACATATATACATGCATACTTACATGCATATAACGCCCGTCTGTAGGTAGGACAATTTGTTATAAGATATTTATATGAATTGTGATGTATATGTGTAGATGTATGTATAAACAACGCATTTCAAACATATTTTTTAGTGAGATAGCTGTAATGTTACAATATTGTAATATTACGTCGTTTCATAATATGTAGTTTAGCTTACGTACACGGTCTCGGTCTTTTTTTTTTATTAATTTTATGGTCGACGCACCAGTACGACGTAAAATCTAAAAGGTTATGTGCCAAAAATATTGTATCCATATAAAATATGTTATACGCAGTGTTCAAAATTGGATGTACTTATACTCAATTAAAAGTTCAAATTTGTTTTAACTACGTCGGTCAAAAAACGCACGCAATTTTCCAACACAATATTCTTTGACTAATAATAATTTTACACGTCCAACGCACCACGCCAGAATACATAGAATATAATAATATTAGGTGATATTAGGATCGTGCGAATTCTAAAAAAAAAAAAAGTAATTTTCTTTCGATTTTGAACACTCCGTGTACCATTTTAGTGAATAATAAAAATATGTCTGTAGGTGTATACAATTTTCCGCATTGGATTTCGTTAAGGGATGATAATAGAACTTATAAAGCTATACAATAATATATAGGACACTTAGGATATTTAGGGTGTATATAATATAGACGGGTCTGCCGAAGTCGAAACGGGATTTTATTTGATCTTTTATATCGACAAACAGGGTTTTATATAATAATAATAATAATAATAATAATAATAATAATAGTAATATGGTCATCGTTCGAGAAAACCGTACGGTGAAAACAAAAGTGGAACATGAATATGCCAAGGGTGGGCATCAATAAGTTTAAAAGTCCAGTGATCTTAACTTGTCTTCTATCAATTCGTTTTTATTAACTTGGCTTTTTTTTTACTATTAATTTAATTTTAACGAGTTGAATAATTTAAATTATACCATGTTATGTTATGTTTCGATTTCTTACAAATTTAATTTGTTATACTCCATTTACCTACATTTTGTTTGAACACGATTATATCGTATATATGATTTTTTTTTTTACTGGTGACAGGAGCTGGAGTTAAAAATACTCTGCATGAATGCCTACATTGTTTCTTCTGTAACGATTAACTTTATTTTTTATTAATAACAAACCCAAAGTTCAATATGAAAATAATAAGTTAATACAAAATTAACTTTAGAAAAAAAATGAATAGAAATTTCAACTCGTTAAGTTATTTTAATTAATTCAACTTGACCGGGTTAATACTATATTATATCCGTTAACTCGCCCAGCCTTGGAACATGTCATTTGTGTATAATTCCGTTTTGCATTAAGTATATTATATTCTTGAGAAAGCTGTATTTTCATACGTATATTTTTTACAATACTCCAGATTCCTGAAATTTTATACCCACGTACAGTATAGGTACCTATCGATAAAATTAAAAAACACATATCAATTTAACGTTTCGTGTATCTATACTAAACTATATTTTACTTTATTCAAACTTTATTTTCAAAAAAAAAAAAAAAAAACAAAAACAAAAACGCATTATTCATCGATTAGGTATTGACCATATCAACTATTAATATCACATACGCCTCTCCATTGCTTAAAAATAAAACTTTTTTGGTGATATTATATTATTCTAATCGTAACTTCTCTGTAATTGTATAGCGTCGTAACAAATAAATAAGGGTGGCTCTTTAAAATTTACTATAGTATGGTTCGAAATCACTCTATAGTATCCAAAAATGGTATCTATTTATATTATTATTACCTTGTTTATAATTGATTGGCAACATTGTTCATGTTGAAATCTGTTTACACAGTATTAGCACAATAAGCAAAATATATGTCGTAGGGAAATAATAAATTGATGACGAATCATATTATGTGAGAGATGCCATTTATTGACGAAACTCAAGTGTGATTAAATTGTGATAATTTATTTTATGGTTTTTATGCAAACAACACTCGATACATAATATAGAAAATTTGAAATTTTTTTTTACGAATTCAATTGTTTGGTGCTATTGATATTAAACAGAGACCACCATTGATGTCATCACAGATGAATTTCGGAACGTTGTGTAATATTGTCTTAAAAGCTATGAAAAAATATCGCGAAAACATAAAAATATATTATTCTTCACTTTATTCACCTTTATCCCACGCAAGTTTGCTAATTAGCTACTTAGCTGTCGTTTGCAGGCCGCCCCATATTAGTTTCATAAAATTTTCCTTTTATGGCACATTATTTTGATCACACAGCATCACTTCCGACGCTACTAGATAGCTATAAAACGTAAATAAGGATTTAAGTATATTTTTTTTTATTATCGCCAGTAAAATAATATATCAACACTTAAACAGCATTATTTTGATGTAGTAATTGTGCACAATAACACCAAGTTATCAGAATCAGTATTATAGGTTTTTGACATATTAAAATATTATCCACATGTTTAGTATATAATTTATACAATATAATATTTAGGTACTCACCAACTTATCGAGTTATTAAAAATAATCTTAAAGTTAATAATATACATAGATTTTAATCGTAGCTATTATACATTTGAAATAGTTATTTTTATTAAAATTCCTAGACTATTTTCTCTGATAATGCATGAAGTTACAAAAGAGATACACACACCGGATCAAATACCATAGTGCACAATATTTTCGAATGATATAGTTTTTATAGAAAAAATAGTAGATGTTAACAGTTAGCTTGAGTAGTGGAGCACAGCAATTCATTGAAAGAAAGGAATGAAAGATTAGTAGAAATAAAACAAAGTTCTTATACAGAGTGATCTATAAAACGTAAGAAACTTATGAACATTTTTTTTTTAATAATTTTAGTAACATGTAGCTCTAAAATGTTCGGGGATGGGACCACGATTTGATTTTCAAATATCAGCCATGTATTAAAAATTATACATTTGTATGAAGATTTATTTTAAACACACTATGGTGTTGTAGTTTTTAATTTTCGTGTACCCGTTGATAAGATATTTTACTTTTAAGTCTGTCGTGAATATGGAGTATTATTCAAACGCCGCGTAGTGTTTCTAAATAGACATTTTCCTGTCATAAACTAATTTTTTTTTTTTTTACTTAAGATAAAAATACTGAATATGAAATCATTATTCTTCAGTATAACTATAGCGTATTTTTCTTATTTTAAGAGTTCATAACTATAAGCAAACCTATATAGGGTATTTTAAAATAACTTATCTCATGTTACATTATTACAAACTTTGGTACGGTAGTGTTTAAAAAGAAAATATACACCGTTTTATAGGCATTATCATAATTTCATTAAATGTAACTTACTTTTGTAACTGCAAGTATTTTATTCATCTAGTAATGGTATAACACAAACAAATACAATTTTTTAATTTAATTTTTAACGTTTAATAAATAATGTATCAAGAGGTAAGCTAATTTAAAAAAACCCAATAAAAATCTGCTTATAGACACTAAAAGTGAGAAAAATGTCTTCTAGTTTTACTGAAGTATTACGATTTCATATTCAACCATTCGTGTAAGTAAAAACAAAAAATAGGTTCTGGAAAATGTGTGTTTAGTAAACTATATGACGTTTGAATAGTGTTCTACATTCCTACCCACAAAACGGCAAACTTAAAAGTAAAATATTTTGTCAACGAGTACACCAAAATTAATTTCAACTAAAACCTCATCTACTTATGGGATTTTTAACATAGCCTACTATTTTAAAATCAAAATATCGTATTGATTTTATCGCTGAACATAAGAGTAACAAAAATTAAAGAAAATTTCACGGTTTATAGCTGATTGTTCTAGATTCTGAGCGGATCAAGGAACGTATTTTACATTTTGATCGAGAGTGATATAAGGTTCACTAGAGTGTACGTAGATGGTGAGGGGAACAGATTCAAATATACTGTTAGGTCCACGATGGGCAATCCCAAATAAATAGGAGGAAAGGTTAGAGAAAAAATATTTTATCTACTATACGTTTGCTATACATATTATTTGATGGTTTATATTTTTGATTATTGTCTCATTCAGAATTACAATTTTCAAAATTTTACTAAATTATCTATCATTTAAAACGTACATTTAACTATAACAAAACTATTGTATTGTAACTTTTGTTCGAAAATTTAAGTTTAGATTCATTTTACGGGTGAAATATGACGTGTTCTGTCACTCCGGTATAATTATATTATTACGACGTTATATATTTATGGTTTGCTATTATTTTTATTATTATATTTTTTTTTTTTTTACTTCGGCGATATTTCGTCATAGCTATGTGTTTTATGTAATTCCGAATAAAATACAACGATATTAGGGAAATCCGATTCCGAATTTTGAATAAAACATTAAAATACGATGTTCGGAATAATGTGTTCGTAAGTGTTCCGTTTATTTGTTTTGTTGCGCGCGGGGTTTAAACAATAGTACTTCTAATAATTTACAGACCAATAAACATGTCATTTTATACATACGAGTACATATATCCTATGTGAAAGTGCAAAACATACGCTAGTGGATATCGTTCGAAACACGTTACGCATACACATGCCATCTTATCGCATATAGTATAAAATGTACATTCATAGAGTACACACACATACACACACACACACACACTATTGATACGTTCCAATAATGGAGAAATGTTTTCTTGTAAAATATAGATCGTTTAATACCTTTACAATAATAGTAGGAAACGGTTTAAAAGTATTTTTTCTTTATTTATTTATTTATTTTTTTTTTTTTTTAAATGTACTCGAAACGTTATATACTAGAAACTTTTTCAACTGCACGTTTTGAGCATATAAGTATTGTATTTTTATCACAAAATACGTTTACACCATTGATGTAGTGGATCGTATACCCTATACGCGGGCATATGCGTACACCTACTCACTTTTCGATTTTTTTTCGACACGGAAATATAATATCGTGTCACGTTTGGACACTATTTTTCTAGATTTTGAGCGGATGTTTGCTATTTTTTTTTTTTTTTATTTGTTAATAATTTTTCTACCAGAAATCTTGCTCCGATTTTCCAGGAGTAATACTTTAAGAAGGTTAATTTTTTAATTTCCCATACAACGTTAGAAAAACGGAAAAATTTACAAAATATATTATTTTTAAATAGTAAATATAACAATCTTTCAAAATATGTATAAACGAATTCCGCTCAGGATCGTTTTTCATTAGCAATAGTTTATCGTTTCGTACAGATAAAAAGTAAATTTCCCCTCTACCTTCTCAACTTCTCACCTACAAAAGTGTTTAGTTTATTAAGTAAAACTGTTAAAAATCATATTCGTCATATTATAATTTTTTTTTAGATTCAGAGAATATTTAATATTGCATTATCTTAATTCTAAAGTTAATAGATGAATACAGTAGGCAATTTATATAATACTATAGCTATCCCAACGTTGCCTGTGCCAATTCAATTCTCATTTTTTTTTTTTTTTTTTTTTTGATAAATTAAAAACAGAATCAAAAGCAGAATTTTTGAAAATCCTTTCAATAACCAAAATCAATAAAAGAGATTCAATTAAACATGTCCCCCTCTTTATTTTATCCAAAACCGTAGATATAATAATACGCTTTTTTATTATTATGTGACACCCACGTTACCATAGTGACCAACAAAAATAATTCGATTTTCGTTACAAAAATATCAAAAACTCCGTTTCAATCAACCTTTACGAGTATTTATTTTGGAAATCCGGTATCGAGGCGCACACAGACCCGTTCATCCGCTTCAGTATATACGTGTTAAGATTTCTGTGTACAATAAATTCAGCAGTGGATCGCACAGACAGACAGACACTTCCTTATTATAAGATAATTATTTACATGAGTATCAATGCTGATATTAAAATTATACTTCCGAGCGCATTAAACTGAACAAAATATATATATATATATATATAAAAAAAAAAAATGTTTGTTGACTCCTGGGTTACATATACGCAATACAAGGGAACAAAAACACAACTAATTACTCCGAAAGTAACTCCTGCTCAGCATTGTTTTTTGATTGCAACGTGATTTATCGTTGCTTTCAGTATGATATACATTAAATTACCCCCTGTATCCTAAATTATACTTAAAACATACTTCCCTCCTATACTGCATTGACCCCACGGATTATTATTTTTTTTATTATTATTATTGTTATATTAAAAAAAAAAAATAGTACCCGAGACAGTTAGTATGTCGTTGTGAGTTATAGGAAATAAAAAATTATGTTAAATTATTATTATTGTATATTGCACGCGCGCGTTTTTGCGACACTCTCGAAGGATGCACGAAACCGGGACCACTATACTTATTACTTATATTACGTTTCGATTATTGATTTGAGTAAAAGGAAAACGCGCGATACGAAATACTATTTTTGTTGAGTTCTACAACGATACCGGACATCGTGGGAAATTTTAAAAAGTGGAACATAATATTATATTGTAAACTAAAATTCTAGTAATTTTATTTTAGAAACGCATCGTATTAAAGTAAAAAAAAAATTGTTTAGATTTTAATTCCTATATAGGGATATAATATATATGTAAATGTTCGAATAAAAAATCCAAAAACAAAAAATTAACGTGGACCAAAAAAAGCCAAAACTGAAAAATCCACGGACAGCGAATCTGAAACCACTCGAAAATCCAATTTTTTCACGCCACGTTTCAAACGTGTAACCTAACGTGTCCTAAGATGGTTTTAAGAAACGTTTTATTTTCTTAATTATTTGTATATTGTATAAAATATCTAAAATGTATGTAAACGGTTGGATTTTTTTAACTGTGGGTTTTTATTTTTTTGTCCTTGGTTCATAATTAATAATTATTATACAATATATTTATATAGTGGGTATATCGTTTGATAATTTGTATTGTAAATTATTAATATGGCTGAAAAAAACCAGCCCGTATAATATTATGTTGTTCGATAGTATATATCGTCGGCTACCCAGCAAAACCTCATAAATTGTTGTTTTTATTTTATATTATTATTTTCGTGTCTGTAAAACAACACTTTTCTACCGGATATCTTGCTCCAATCAAACACTTTATAGGGACTTTATTGTGGCGGCATTTTTTTTTTTATCTAACCTGTGCCCTTAAGGTGGTCATATTTAATGATTTTCCTTGTTGAAATTTCCAAACAACGGTTTTGTGAAATTTGTTGAAATCAACTTACGAGATTTTGCTGGGTAGCCGACGCTATTATATTTTGTGTACGTGTATAATATTAATTGATCGTATTATTTTAAATCATAGACCATTATTGATAATAACATATTCATGTCGGGTTAACTTAATGATATTATAATTATATTGTAATTGAAAAAAAAAAAAAAAAAAAAAAAAAAAAAAAGATAGCGTTATTTTCTTATAAAAATATTATGGTGTACAACAAATTCTATGAACGCAATATATTATATAATTATACTTGCGAAATGTCACACGCTAAGATTTCGGTATAAATTCATAATTAATATTATTGTTGTACGCGATATTGTTCTGCAACTGTGGGAACAATACGAGTTAAAAATAGAGACTTATATTATATACGATTATTATTATTATTATTATTGTCTTACCTATACTGCTCTCGGACCCTTGTAATAATCTTTTTTGTATACCTGAAAACCTTATTTTACATATATATATATATATTATATATTAACAATATTATATTAGCGTAAAAGATGTATATCTGTATTAAAAACAATAATAATAATATTGTGTAATTATTATTATTATAATAAAACATGAAATAAATACGTGTATAAATATATTTGTCCCCCCCGTCGAACGTTCTCCCGGACGACTTGTCGCCAGTACAGTATGATTTTTTTTTTTTTTTTCGATTAATCTAAAACAGTTATGCGAATGCAAATCGGTTGCAGAGGTGGTTGAATGTTGAAACCCGCAAAAGGGCGCGTTCGCTTACATTATGAATACATAAAGTGTATCCCCTGACTTGATTTCGAGTGGAGGTCCGTAGAGGTGTGTAAAACTAAAAGAAACACTCTCCTTCCTCCGGCAAAAACGCGGTGAAATTCATATGGTAATTCAACCCGAATTGAATCACTTTAAATTCACCTACAAAACATCTCTAATTCCCGAGTATGAGCACATTTGATCAAGAGGCAGTCGCTTAAAGTGTGAAAAAAACAGCAGAAAAAAAATGTATAGGTAATATACAAAATGCCTATATAGTGGCGCCGAACACGGGGTGTAGGACCAAATTTTTGGAGTGGTGGTGGTGGTAGTAACCACCTTAATGGTTGCAGATAATATTAGGCAATACTTTTCATGGATATATTATTGTTTCATGACGTAACAATCAATCAATTCAGTTTGCTTTTTTATAATATAAGAAATTGTTTAAAAGGAACCTCTTTCACCAACTTTATGGAATTTTCTTTTAAAAAAGGTGACACACTCTATACATCACGGAGCAGGATTTGCTTTCAACAATTTGTTTACAGACAGGAAAAAACACACACACATCACAGTAAAACCAATAAATCATTCGCTATGCTCTGTATCTTAAATTAAGATACTAAATTATCTGATTGTTAGATTCTGAGTGTGGCGAAGAATGTATTGACTTTACAAAGATGTTTCTTTTTTTCCCCTTCTTTTTACTATGTACAAAAATTCTACCAGAAATCTTGGTCTGATCTATGCGCGTGGCATCATTCCTAAAACAGGGACGTATTTAGCTCATCTTCTAGGAGAGAGGCGAACACCGAACTTTAATCATACTTATAAAAGTATATGTCTACAAACAACAGTGTTACAGATTATAAATAGATTCAGCAGTTCAAAATTGTTCGATCATCTCGCTTGCTTAAAACTTTAATAATTGATTTCTACTCACTTTGACAACTATTATCAGCTATAATAAATATACATTATTTCGTGTATAAGTGTATTACGAATTTCAATATTGAGTATTACAGAAAACTGGAAGCAACAAACGCCGAAAACTACTACAAACGGCAGACCTGATGTGCCATACTCGTACTACCATGGCCATCTTTGCATTAAAATTTATCAATTTTTGTTATGATATAGTTATTACAGCTCTATGGTATCATTCCCCGAAAACGGAATAAGTTAATAAATCGGACCACGGTTGTAGAGTGCAGACAAGAAGGTAAATATGTGTTGATGATAGCCACAATATCTCTAATCTCTTATCAATCTCTTAACAAGTTTTTAAAAACCATTTGCGCACAAAAAAATTAACATTTTTTTTTTTTAAATTTTTGATTAATAATAATAAAAAAGTAAGTACCTGTACTAAGCAAATACATGAAACAAATTCAACAATGTCCAAAGGGATCGCCCCTATCGCCCCCTCTTGTATATGACCCTGTTCTGAAAGGAAATATTGTCCGGATGGTACTTTTAGAAGGTCATTTTTTTTTCTAAGGGGTTTTCATAGTATTTGAAAAAACCAGGATAAAACTTAAGAAAAACGGGAAATTTACGAAACTAATGCTTTTATTATTTTTTCAATTTTATTATTTGGTGTAATTCAGTTTAAAATATCTATAGAGACTAGAAATTTAGACATAAAACTTATATTTGCCTTTTCTAGATGTGGTAAAATTTTCAAAAATTGTAAGACATTCTTGAATTATTTATAAATATTTTAATTTTGCGAATTTCGCACATAATTTCACAATTTTTATTCCATAGTTACTCTGTGGTAAAACTGTTAGACTTATTAAAAATGCTTCAAAATTTAATAAGAGAATCATTAAAACTTAATGCAGTATTTTACTTTTTTTAAAGGAATATTAATATCTAATTTTGACGAAAATCTTTCGAGTAGAAACTATACGGAACAAATTTAATATTTCAATTTTTTGTTTTAAACATAATATGTATATATTGCTGATTTAGGAACTATAGTGAAGTAAGAATTGAGCGGAATGACATAGTTTCAAAATGATAGTTTTTTGAAGTTCTGATATGATACGGATAATATATGTTAGGTAAATAACTATAAGTTGTCAAATTATAATATGTTTTTCGTATTTTTATAGTAATACATTTCAATTGACATTATAAGGATCGCGAGTTCAAAACCTTTTCGAAACAAATTTTTTGCTTTTTTTGCCCCTTTTACCTAAACAAGGAAAAACAATGCATTTTAGGAGTACTTAGAGTCCTAAGCCATCACTTGCTCGGAATTTCAATTGCAAAATACCCCTCGATTTGTTGTGCGAACTTTTCTACTAAAAATCTTGCTCCGATATATCAAGTGTAGCCCTTTTTCTAAAAAGTCGCTACATAATAATTTATAGACACTTGGACATAATACAGTGAGAAAATTCGACTAAAATAAATTCAAATTAATGATATTTTTTGTATTATTAAACACAAATTCAATAATGATATCAATATTGATATTACGAGGATTTTGGTGGCAAAACGTTGTTTTTGAAATCTGATTCTACATTTCCCGGTAGATCGTAATTACAAACTAAATATATTTCTCCGGTTTTCACGCTTTTTGACGCGCCGACGCCGAGTTCTTTGCTGTCCTTCCACACCACTTGAGTAAAGTGAACTGCAAGACATATGCAAAAACCGAAAAAAAAGTCATAAATTATAATATTATAACTCTAGAAAATAAATAAATTACGAGCTTTTGATGTAGCGGCCATTTGTTCGTTCGTCACTTGAAAATCAAAAAACTCAATTTCACCATACCAACAATCAACAGCTTTAATACCCAACTCGATAACTTTGTCCATTGACTTGATAACGTAAATATTCTCCCCGTAAGCGTTATCGGGACGATGTGACGCTACGCCATTTTGCATCAAAATATCAGCCCATTCTTGACTTATTTTGTTTATCTTTATCAAAATAAACGCGTAGAGGTTCAAAAAGAAAAAAAAATTCACAATTTGAATTGTTCAATTTAGGTATAACTGTACGCAACGGTAAATTACTGCTTGCAAAGAACAATTCTGACAAAAGGTCGATTAAACAGTAAACATGTTTGGAAATACCATGATTATTACGATTTTCGTCCAAATTTGAACATGCTGCATAAGCATTTCTACTCGGTCAAAATAATTGTATTCATATAAAACCAAATACAAAATTTCAAAAATATCTATAAACAGAAGTGTAATTTGAGGAATTCAGACTACATTTTGGCAATCTTGTATTTTTAAATTTTTTTTATTGACCCGCCTAAAATTTTATAATAATTGCACCGTTTTTGATGTAATGCAAAATGTAAAAGGTAATCGCTCTAACTGCCAACGGCTGCCACTATCGGAGTGCGACCGTCTATAATGTAAGAATGAAATACAGGGGAGTTTTACCGCGTTTATAAATGGCATCTTTTAATAGTTATCGTGGCTAAATGAACAGGCATGTTAGCATGATAAAAGTACGCATCAAAACTCACGTCATTTGAAGTGAATCATGGTAAATGAGTTAAGTATTTCATAAAATGACCGTAGTTTAGTATAAATGCTATTGGAATGTCAAACAATTTAGTATTTTTAATTTTGAAAATCAAAGAAAGGTTACTGGCAGAAAAGTTGTGTATATACAGAAAAAATATAGCACACCATAATATTGAAATCAAAACATTCCTCGCTTAATCCAAAATTAAAAAAAAAACACGCGTCATAGGAAATCAATATATTTCTCACTGCATTCCAAATCTAAAAGCTTAATCAACTTTTCTAAAATATTATACAAGATCGCTGTATTAGGCCGGGGTCACACTAACGTTGAAAGAACGGACGTTGAGTTTTAACGGACGTCATTACCCTAGTCACACGAACGTCAGTTTTGACGTTAGTTGAGACAAAACTTCAGTTGATAATTTCGCATCTTACAAGTGTTACGAGAAAAAAAACGCCTAAATCGAAAATGGTGGGTTCATCCAATAAATAGTGAACGATTATTAAGTGGTGCATTTTACAACCTTTATAACTTGTTGAGAGCCGACAGCGAAAAATTTTTCAATTATTTTCGCATGTCACAAAACACATTTGACGAACTATTCGACAAAATTAAATCGAATATAATGCGTCAAGATACAGTTATGAGATCAGCGATACCAGCAGAAGAGAAGTTGGCAGTTACTTTGAGGTAATAAATAATAATATAAAATGAATAATTATATTTGCATATACTAAAATTATATTTAATGAAAATAAAAAAAACAAACTTTTTAGGATTCTTAGCATTTGATTAACATAAAAATAAAAGTTTTACAATAACTTTTGTATTATTTGAAAGTTACATATTATTTGTAGACGTATTTTGTTGTTCTGGAGAAAACTGACTAAAATATCCAGTAGCGGAACTGTGTGAGGATAATGGTGAAATTGTGCGAGCTACACTTGTTCGTGACAATTCGTCATTATTGTACATCGGAGTGTGTTGTATTGTAGACGGGTATACAGGCATAGATAAGTTGTAATTATGATGTAATATAGATATCGGTACACCAGAATTCCGGTCAAAAATTGGACTAGGTGGTTGAAAATATGGAGGTGCATTATTGGTTAGCTTTATACGTTGTAGAAGCTGCATGAGTTGAATTCTTAATTGGATTTTTTGATCCATGTTTGATGTCTTACTGAAATTTTCAAATACAACATTTGCAACTTCCATCCATCCATCATTTTTCTTATTCCTATCTTTATATAATTCATCACTGATGTTTTTCTACTTCTGTAATTAACAGTTCCATACCCATTGTTAAACTGTGTTTTTTAATATGTTTAAAAAACAAAATTTACGATTTTTACTATTAACGTACGTCAAAACAACGTTGGTGTGACCGAGTTAATATTATCTTATAATCAACTATGACGTACGATAAGCACTGTCATGACGTCCGTTGCAACGTCCGTTCTTTCAACGCTAATGTGACCCCGGCCTTAAATATAATTTTGCAGTTGTGAAAAATAAAATCAGTAATTATTTAAGTAATTCTGTATAATTTAGGCATACTAACGAATTTTATTATAAATGTGAGCATGAAGAAACAATATTTTTTGTTATGATTGTATACTACCGCTGTCCCATTCGCCTACTATATATACTTGTCCAAATAATCCAAATAGCGGTGTGAGAAAAGCACATCTTGATAAAATTAACACGCACTACCGGTAGCTATTTGTCGTTAGTAAATAGAACGGGTTTCTATTTACTCGCACTCCCAGTTTTACTAATGCTCAGTACTATTTTTGTTGTTTACACGCTAGGTGTGAATGCGAGTGACATGTACTAATGATTAGTACTAAGCATCTTGTAAACTAAGCAATAGGTAATCTGAATAAAAAAAAACTCACGTCATATTAAAACCAAAAAAAAAAATAATAATAAAAACAATTTTTAATCCAAAAATATGACAATATGTTGGTAATTTCCAAATTATAAAACATAAGTAATAAAAGTACAATTATAGTACAATTTAATAAATCGGTTTATAAAATATTATTATATTTATTACACTCAAATGTTTTATAAAATATTGATATCGGATATTTTTTAAATACTAAAAATAACTAACCTTTGGATTAATTTTTAAAGGTCCCACGTTGTGTTTTTCTCTGTAGAAATTGTGTCTAGCTAACGTATCATTTAAAACATTTTTGAACTCTCCTTCTTCCTATGATAAGTATTAAATATTTTGAACATGTATACAGTATAGGTAAATGGTTAAACATAATAAATAATATTATCAATTTTAAAAACACATTATTGAAATAGTATAGGTTCTTACGTCAAGTGCCATTTTAAAATTTAAAATTTGTATACAATATTTATAGTTAAAGTAACTCAATGAATTATTTGAAAATAATGAAAATGTCGACTTTATTTAATAATAAAACAATATTGTAAAACATAGAAACAAGAATAAACAAACAACAAAAAAAAAAACGACTTACATTCGTCCTTTTAAATGTTTTATCAACGGTTGTAATGATGTGTTTGGAATTTTTCCTTAAAATTTCATTTGAATACATTACATGTGAGTGGTGTATACGTAATTAGTTATCTATACCTAATAAAACCATCTATATGTATTATTAATCCCACAGTTGATGTGTCACTGCTGTAGATAGGAAATTGGGAAGGTAAGATACATACGTTTATCTAATTAACATCTGTAAATAACGATAAACCAATGCTTACGAAAAACGATTCGGAACCGAGTTCAGTTATACGCCAAACACTAATCGTTGCGAATTGAATTCCTCTCTATAGCCTACCTTCCCAACTTCTCACCTACAACAGTAGTTCATCCATCGTGCGGAGTATGTCCGTCTTTTTTGTTTTGGCCCTGTGAAGGACGTTCAACCCCTCCTCCCTCGTAAATATGCCACTGTATAGGATACATAATTATTTAATTTGTAGACTGAAATCAACGGTAGATCAAAGGTAAACCAGATTTTTTGTCGTCTGATATTGTTGTACCGGACTAAACATTCAAGACCATGTGCCACCGTAAAAAATACATCAATGTACAATATTTAAAAAAAAAAAAAACAGCTGGTAATGAACGAGTGCGCCATTATTGTAGGTGAAAAGTTGGGAAAATAGGATGAATAAAGTCCTCGCTGAGAATCTAATATATTCACTGCGATTTTTCGATATGTTTGTATGTTGTATCATCATAAGAACAGTAGTTTGTCCTCTCGTTGTTAGGAAAAATACAAGGAAAATCAACAAATGTCCTCTCCAGTTCACCAATTAGACAACGTTTACTATCATAAACTGACCCTTCATAAATTTATCTGCATATCCGTACGCAGTGTCGCAAAAACCGCGGTGCGGGCGGGCTCGTTGCATCGGGGCCCCTCGCTTCAAGTTCTTGTGTGGGGGGCCCATATTTAAAATCATTTAAGTACCCGTACCAATAATCCGGATATCCGGATACATGTAGGCAGGTCTCGACAGACACGCATGCCGGTTAATAGGTATTGTACACAATATTACGCGTATGCGGGCAACCCCCGGCCGGCAGCCAGGACCGCCACGGGTACACTGGCCGGACCGCGGACGAACGCGGCTCGCTCCTCGTTGACGGGCCGCGGACAATTACGGGAAATCGCCATACGAAACGGCGGCGCGATAGCCTGTCCGTTTGATAGTTTGACAATTGTACCGTCGTGAAATTCACATCGGGGCCGCGGACGTCGCCGGCCGGGGTCGGACCGTATTGTACGCGCGATAGACGCGCACGCACTCGCCGTCGCCAAGTTAATCGGCCTGCGTACCCGGCGGCGGAAGGAAAATTACGAACCCGACGGCGTATTGTCGTCCCCCGGAACCGGAACCGGCGCGCTGGACGTTGCGCGACGCGTCGCCGTGGCCCGCGGGACTTGCGAAAATGAAAAACCGCAACGGCGTAAAAATACCGAACTGCACATGTGGAGAACGAAACTTTAGGACGGGCGCGCGAGCAAAAGTCTACGGTCCGACGGGCGCCGACCGAAACGGCGAGCGCCGAAATGCCGTCGCCCACTCGCGTCGCGTCCATAGAGTAATGCGGCGACGTCGCGGCGCGGGACGGGGTAAACTGGTCGACCGTTTTTCACCGATACCAACTTACGCGATATCGCCGGTAAACCAAATTATTGTACTGTCACGCTCAGAGTCGTAGACCGTAACATCATTACATCCCGACTGTCGAACGCTGTCCACGGTCGCGTAACTGTTATTGTTCGCGTCGCTCGGCGACGTCCATTACGGTCCATTACGTATGACTTGTGGTACGGGAATACGGGACAATTGTTATAAACTTTTGTTGATAGTTACCTATGATAAATAGTTATAGGTGTTATAGGTGTCGATCGACTCGATTATAATTTACACTTGAGGTGGCCGAAAACCCCGGAGAAAATAGGAAAATTACCTCTCTAAAGTAACTCCCCAGTCGGATCTCCTTTAAAAAAAAAAAGTGCTATCGTTATAAATCGGAGCAAAATTGTTAGTAATAAAGATGTACACAGAAAATAAACAGGCCATAATATTTTTTTACTAACACCTACATTTCGTACATTTTCGGTTTTTTCTCCGTTTTTCCCGATTTTTCCCAGATATTGCGAAAACCAATTAAAACATCCGGTAGGTACTCTGTGGTAAAACTGTTAGACCAAACAGAGGAGCCATTTTTTTAAACGATTTTGTATTAAGTGTTCGTCTTATCAAATTGTTTGTCGTATTTTAATATATTCATTTAGAGCAATAGGTATTTGAAAAATATGTATAGAAAATGTGTTTATTTAATAATATTTATGTGGTATATTTTGGCACATTTGTAACGCATATTTTTGTATATTTTTAATAAAACAAATGCATATTTCATAATTCGTTAATGCATATAAATCGTAGCTCTATAGTAATATATAGGAATGTATCAAATAGCTAATAGCATAAATATTTTTTTTTCTTTTAGCATAATAATTCATTAGTATATTATTGATATTATTTAAATTAATTACAATTTTAGGTTATAACAACTAATTATGTGTTTAATATACACTGTATATAATTATGTAGCTTCATTCTGACACATAAATCCGAATCACTTGTACATTCAATGCCGTTTTCATCATTTACTTCTTGATCTTCCGTGTCGATCTCGTTTTGAATGTAACTTAAATTTTAAGTTTGATAAATTGTTGAAGGAAAAGAAAATATTTAAAAAAAAAAAATATTCAAATTTTGAATAGCGTATGTAACAACAATATCATCAAAATCAGTATTACGTTGAATACATACCTGCATTCGAACTGAAGATAATATCGAAACTAAATTAATAATTCCGAATATCGAAAAAGTATATTATCAAATACATAATGGTAGTTGTTTATTGCATAGATATAAAAAAAATCACTATACAATACGACAGCGATACACGAAATCGAAAAATTCCATATTTTGATAATCTGAAATTCTGTTTTTTATTAAATAAAATACGGATAACTTTTAAAGTCGGTCCTAGATGGACACGAAATTTCAACCTACTTGTAACTGACTATTCAAAGTATAATTAACTGCACTTAAGTTCTTGAATCTTTGAAAACTCTTTTTATAAATCAAAACAAAAAATTATTTTCAGTTTTAAAATATCAATTTTTGCAACTTTTTTAAACGCATTCAGGATAGGTAGAAAAAAATGTTAATGAGTTATGGCTGCAATAAATCTTATACAGTATATACTATGTAATATATGCACTCTGTGTAAAATAATGTACTTGTTCAATTTATTTTTCATAAAAAAAAAAGTTTAAAAAGTACAAAAACAAAAATTCACTTTTTCTTATATGATACAGACAAATCGCTTGGACGTAATTTCGAATACAAATAATAAAAAAACTTTCTTTTTTTTCTGAAAAATATTATGCTCAATTAACGTACGTATTAATTAATAAATAGAAAATAGAAAATTAACTAGTTTAGTAAAAAATGATTAAATTTGGTTAATGTCCGGATTTTTTATGAAACTATCCGCACACGCGTCCCTTTGATTTTGTGTATTGGCTCAAATGTATCGTAGGGGATTTGTGGGTTTAGTCCCCCAACGGCTGAACCAAGCTCCCTCAAATCAAGTCTTCTTCGAATAAATACTAATAATACTGCGTAATCATTATAATGCGGGATTAAGCCTCCCCCAACCAAAAACAAAAAAAAAAAATAAATAAAAATATTTATCCGTTTGCGGTTATGGTGTTTGATCTTCAAAAACCGTTACTTTCCCAGCCATGAGGACCTGTGTACGCGTATGCGCCTTACTGTTGAGAATCGAAATCGATGTAAATCCGTAAACCAGAAGAGCCGACCTGTAGAGGCGGCCCGAGCGTTGTTGTCCTCGCAAACGCCATCATTTCGGTCGTCAAATCGTCAAAAATGTTCCCAAAAGATTTCTCGGCCACTTACAACGGTGTTTTGGATAGGCAAACAATATGACCACCGCCCGCGGACTTTTATACTATTTACTGAGAAGTCTGTGGTACCGCCCCACTCTGGTTTTCTATTCTAAGCAGCTCGTGCGTTATCACTAGTACGTCTCGCTCTGTGATAATATATATGTAGATAATATATGATTCCTATATTATCTATGATGGTATCACAAATATTCAATAGAATGATAAGCGGCATTATCAATAAACCGATGTTAATTTTTCCGTCGCTCGGCACGAATTTTTTACGACTGCCTTAATTTAATACGGCCGCCGTTGCATTATTGGTATGATGTTTTTTTTTTCCACGGCGAATTTTTTTCAGTAGTGGTGGAACCTGACAAACGTGTATGCGGATTCAGTGTAAAACATCGACCGACGACGAATGGAACGCACCAGCTGAACTGCTCTTACCTAGTGCATACTGTTTTGGAATTATGGGTCACCACCACTACAAGTGATTTGCGAATATTTTCGTCGCAGAACCGCACACTGTCTCCGATCTCCGAATTTCAGTCGGTTGGTTTTTATTTTCCTTTTTGGTCCAGTGAGTACCAACCATTGGTTTCTCGTTGTGCTGGAAATCTAATACTAATTAATTTATTTGAATCCTTTCGCTTTTATACAATAATAATTCTATGGCAATCCTCTAAAATATTAGAATAATATTGTCATTCGTGGACCATGGCTCCGGTTTTGAGCAAATATGTGTCTCAAAAAAATGCCCTCATCGGCGGTGCTGTTGCCGGAGTACCTCTGTTCGTTTATTTGTTGAAGAAATACGCATTTCAAAATAAAAACACTGTTAAAAGGTACTTACGTATATAATTCTTCAGTAGGTAATATTCATAAATATATTACATCTGTATTTAAACCTTTTTTTCTAGGGCTCCCGAAAATGACATAAAATACCTCATAGTTGATGTAAGTCAAAATTTGATTGATTAATTTAATAAGTGCCTATTTTTGTACAATTAAAATAAATGGCTAAACTTAACAAAGGATTAACTAGGTTCTAAAATAAAGAAATGAAATACATTTTTACACCCGAGTTCTGTACTACATCATTTAGTTTGTATGGTCCAAGTGGGTACCTAAACCCAATGTCATACTAAATTAAAGTATTTCATTTTATCAAGATTTATACAAGTATTCTATTTTCAAAAATTATCTTTGTAAATACGAATCATAATATCTTGTAAATTAAAATCCTTATCACATTCGAAAAATATATTTTCTGAGTGTTGTTCAATAGTAATAAATGAGGAAGTAATTTGAATTAAAACTAAATGAGATACCGATGTTTTAAAATTAATAAAATTATACAACATAGGTATCTTCTACTTAAAATAATACATTTTACCGTTTTAAATAATTAAAATGCATTATTATAATAGGAACATTATTAGGTAGTTAAATAATATGTATACTACTACTATTTTGTAACTCAGTATATAGTACCTACATTTAATATTAAGAATTAATTTACCCACTGGCAATTTACATACTAAGTTAAAGAATAGCATTAAATAATATTTCAAATGTTAATTTATTCCTTATTCGTCCAATTACACAATTATATTGAATACATTAGCAGAGACTTACTATAAATATTTGAGGTCGTATTCTTCATGTTTCTTATGAACTTTCAATTATTAACTCAAATTTTACATAAGTACCTAATTATATAAAAAAAAAAAACCTGAGATCAGTAACACCAATAAAATATAATTAATGGTTTAGATCATAATAATTAATATTTTTACTAAAATTGTAATAAATCAAAATTTGTTTTTATATTTTATTTTAACAATAAATGTAGTTATTTAATTTATTATAAACAAAATATTAGTTTTTCTTTATTTTCTTGTTGTCTTTTTATTTGGCTGCATCCAAGTTGGGTCACGAAGAATTTTGAGTACTATACTAATTGAAATTGAACACTTTAAAGCAATACAAACATTTTTCTTCTTATTTTTACAGACTTAGAACTTAGATCTATTCAGTAATTTTATCCTTTATACATTTTTCTTTTTTTAAAATACAATATTGTTTTGTTTTTTCTGAACTTCTCATTTTAATGTAAATATCTATTCGGGTACTTTTTAAAACTTCTATCAACTGCAGGTAAATATTAGGATAGCTATGATATTTTGTATTGTATTTTCCGAAATTTCTAAACGTTTACATTAATTAATAAAAATATCAGGGTACTAGATACCTAGGTTAGTAGACTAACCGCATAAACCCAGCGCCCAGATAGTGTAGATATTTGAACACAGGACCCAACTCAGATAAGCCGATTTATTTATATAATTTACAAAAATATATAATAGATTTTTAAGTATATTGTTATTGTTAAATTAATTTATAAAACTAACAAACCTAACAACTTCTTTTATATTATTAAAATTGTAATAAGTATACCTAATTGTTGATGTTAATTTTTAAATTAATAACCACAACCAATAATTATTCCTATATTACTGCCTTTATTTTTGCCATTGTTAAATTGTACTATTTATATGGGTATTATATTATTAATATGTGGTTAATACCCACAGGAATTAAAGCCAAAACAAAATTAGGTAATCAGTTTTTATTTTTAAATCTTTATCAATAATTTTTGAATTATCCTGATTCTAAAATAAATATCAAATACACATTATAACATTATAGCTTGAACAGTTGTAGTTAACATAATCAAATATTTGCATATTCATGAACTGAAATTTAAAATATCAAGTGCTTATTGTGTATAAGTAATATGCATATTTTAATTATGACAACCATTCAAAAATGTAACCATAGAGTAAAAAACATGTAACAATAACGAGATGTTAGATTGAAGATAAAAGATTTTAGATATGTTTACAAATATACAAAATATGAAAAATAATTGTGTTTCACAAAATAAATTTCAATTCTAATCATCTAAATTATAGCAGTCATTTTTATTTTATTTTGTTGTCATTATGAAACTTGTATTTTTTATTATTTCAAAGGTTCCATACAAACGCTGGTACATTTTTCTTTGATTCAGTAGTTAAAGAATTTAACACAGATTTTACTTTTTTAGAATTATAGTTAATTAGGTAATTAAAATTATCTGTTTAATACAATCGTAAAGTATTGAATAAATTGTGAGAATACAATTTTAAAACGAATGCCTACAGGGATTTTATTTCCTATTACAAATCAATGGTTTATTATTATTGTTATTATTATTGCTGTTTATTTATTGATCTTTTGATTTAATAATTTAGACAGTTAGGTCCGCCAAAAATACAAAACAAAAAAGGTTTTGCTTTTTAGATTATCTCGTAATTTACTGAAAATTGAAGTCTGCAGTTTTTAAAAAATTATTTTGAAAAACTCAAAATAGTCGTGCAAGTATCTAATATGAGTAATAGGTAAATATTAATTCGGGAATATCCGTAGGCTATTATAGTTCTTTAATATCAACAATCCTTGTCTCTGATTGGTTTCATTTAGTAAATGTGTCGTTCAAAAATCCGTTATATTCTCTCTGGAACCGAACACGTGGTCGGTCCGACCTCCAATTGACTATGTGCATCGTGCGTGTATTTTATTGGTACACGGAAATATTTTGATCGTTTCTTTGTTTCCAATTCCGATTTTGCATGACATTTGTTTATGGGTATTAGTTATATAATAATGCGTGAAAAAACTTGGCTTCCGGTGAATTTATTCGCTTTTATTATTGTAAAACTGGATTATCCACTCGGGTATAATTTTGGAATTTTTCGTTATTTTTAACGCCTTCAATTTGTTTACTAGAGCGCAAGTAGTTCGTAAAATGCATTAAAAACAAAAATAGCTCTTATAATAGGTATTATTTTACGAATGATTTTTCAGAGCTTTAGCGTTTTACACTTGGTGCGCTTTGTACTCCCTAAGATTACGAATTGACTATACTGGTCACCATGACGGGATATCGTATATTTCAGTACACATTTTCCCTCTCCTTTTTTTTTTCCACTCCTATTAAAATAAGTTTCGACGAATTTTCTGCAGTTTCCGTACTCGTTTGTAAAATAAACAATACGCCTACCTTGAAAACGATATTTTACTTATAAATATTTTTTTATTACTTACCGACCGTTTAACTGCTTACTTAATATGTTTTTAATTTGAAAAATAATTTGACGATTACCGATTTACGTAATATAATATAATTGGTATGCACATGGATACCGTGTGTTTTAAAATTCATTACCCGATTCAGCGGATTGATGAGAGTTTGGGAACACCATTTGTGTTACTTACCTGTTTGATACTACGATAGAACAATCCGAAAATCGTGTTTGATACCGTAAACCTAATCATAGGTATATATTTTTATTTTATCGTTTAATCTCGAATTACAATTTAACATTTATTTATTTATCCTTTTAAGGAATAAGCAATTTTTGAAAGTTGTAAAGTAAATCTTTTTCCTCTGGAGTAGATAAATCTTAAAAATGAATCACCAAAATCAACCGCATTAATTTTTTCATTCATAAATTATCTTCAAGAAATTAACTTTTCTTTAGATAAGAAGAAAATTGTATTTAGCTAAAAAATGACTAAAATCCAAGTGATCTGGGTACCTACCTAACAATTCAGTACATGTGCATTCATCATAAACGAAACGTATTTTCATTTGTTCAGCTCCCATTAAAATACTTTGGTTGGTGATAGGAGAGTTAAAAAAAAAATCACGTTAAAAAACGGGTCAGCGCAAACCTCAAAACTTGTTTCACTCGTTTCTTATGATTTATGAACATATAACCTCAAAAGTGCGTAAATTATGTATTAAAAAAATTTCGTAAAATTATGTATTGAATAAAATTCGTTCGTAGTTATCAAATCCATCTGTAGATTTTTTCGGCCAGCCGAATAATTACGGATTAGTCGACATTGCCAACTTAATTTTTCTGATTTATTTTCTTGATACCAAAAACGTAGTTTTCGATTTTTAGTGTTATATGCCCTTTTATCAAAACACTATGGATTCGATTTTGCCAGACCATTTAAGCGATTTTCTGCCATTTTCGATCGTAGGTTAGTTTTCAAGTGACGTAATGAGGAAAAGGTTGTATATTTTATCAGTCGTTGTAGTAATTACATATACAATTTTAAGAACGTTTGGAAAAACGCATTTGCATTACAAATTTCAAGGGCGTTTTGGATATTTTGACCGGCTACAGTTGCAGTAACAGTTGAACTCCCCCCACAAAAAAAAAAAAAAAAGCCCGTTCCCCTGCACACGAAACTGCAATAATATAATCTATTCGTATCGCTTAAATAAACATTTATCTCAAACTTGAGCCTACGCTCAACCTTTTTTTTTTTTTTTTTTGGAGAAATATAATCGATGATCGGGAAAAGTGACGTGAATTTATGATGGCGGCAAATACTCTTTTAGAGTAGATTAAGCCAGCATAAGAAGAAGAAGAAGCGTGTTTAAAGTTCAATTTTCTAAGACGTTTCTTTCAATAATAACAATAATAGTAATTTTAAAGCAAACGTTATTTGTTGTCGCATTTGTAATGTCATACGCGCGGGTCACCACAATTTAGATTACATCCGTCACAGACGTTGGCCAGTTAGTAATTATATCGAGTACATTGGATCGATATTAAATATTTATTCGGAATATTTTAATTTTTCGCCCGTCCGTTTATGAATATGAATCGTTTGTTCGCTGGCCATTACCCGTGCACTCGCGTTACACGTCAGTTTTTTTTCTTTTCTTTTTTTCGTTTTCTATTGATAGTTCGTATTACATGGTAAATATTCAAATCGTCGTAACCGTGAGATTTTATCGAAGCGCCGTCCGAAATTTTAGGAATATTAAAGCAAACTCGTTTTAGACGAACGGCAAAAACAGAAAAAAATATTGTCGATGGTATTATTCCCACCGCGATCGAGAAAAGGCTTATAGAAATCTAAAATGTATATAAACTAGCTGTCCCACCCGGCATTATTTTTATTATATTTTTATCCTTATTTCTTTTTGGTTTTGACCGTGTCAGTATTGAATGAAAACAGATAGCAGGTGAACTAAAAGTAATTGTTGTGACGTTTTTCATGATTTTCATATCAAATATATCTAAACACCGAATTTTGGGGGAGTCGGGTTTCAAAGGAAGTGACGTCTAACCTAACCTATCGGGGAGTGGGGTCGCTCGACAGTGTAAAAGAGCGTCTACCGTATTTTCGGAGACGGCACGGCATTACTTTTATACCTTTATGTGCGTATTTTCCGGCAATTTATATTAATATAAAATTAATTACTCGATTGTTATAATCCTTATATATATAAATATATAATTTAAAATTCTATATGTATAAAAGTGAAACAATATATTGTTGTTGACGCCATAACTCAAATATTATCCAAAATTTTCCACTTTTCCAGTCGACTTTCCAAACATTTTCTTTCGTGCGAACCGTTATTTCTATTTATCATCGAATAGCTGTTGTTATGGAAACATGAGACAGCCGAACTGATAGTCAATTATCGAATTAATTTTGTTGATTACCTCGATGATACGACAGAAATAAAAAAAAAAAAGACTGCCATACTTCGCATGATGAGCCTCACTATTATAGGTGAGAAGTTGGGAAAATAGCATATAGAGGGGAATTTAGTGTATTTTTGTATGCAACGATTAATCATCGCTAATGAAGAACGATATAGTAAAGAAATAAAGGTCGTAATATTTACGATTTTCGTTAAAATTTAATATTAAAATGTTAATAAAAAAAAAAACTACAATAAAAACAATCTTTTCTTGTTGATCATTAAGTACAACTTATAATAAACCTTCTGCTAAATTTACAAGCATTTCTGTTCGATCTTACAATTTTATCCACAAAGTACCTGCCAAATTAAAATTACGTACAAAATTTCCAAAATTAAAATGTCTATAAATTGTTCAAAAATGGCTCAAATGTTTTGAACATTTCACCATATCTAGAAAAACTAAATATAAGTGTTCTGTTCAAATTTCAAGTTCCTACAAATATGTTAGACCGAATAACAACAAAAAACGAAAAGAACGGACATACTTCGCACGTGGGTGCAGCCACTATTGTGGGTAGGAATTTGGGAAGACTAGTGGGAATTTAATGTATATCTGTAAGCAACAATAAACCATTGTTAACGAAAAAACGATTCCGAGTGGAGTTCAATTGACAGTGTTGTTTTGTCAACTAAATAATATATGTTACCGTTAATGTTGTAAAATCGGTTATTATTCGTTATAATTATACTTCAACCTATTTTGTGCTGTTCGTTTTAATATTGGATTGTATTGGCCTATTAAATAACTTATGGTAAGCATGCTGTTTGTATTTGTACGTGGGTTTTTTCTCGGTATTTTAGTTTTTAATCTGGATTTGACGATTTTTAAATTGTAATATTTCATACGTTTATAACTCACTTGAAAATAAAAACACCGAGAAAAAACCAACGTACAAAAACTAACAATGTTCTTACTTTTAAGTTTGATAATAGGCTCATACACTCTAGTATCAAATCTAACAGCACAAAATCGATTTTTATATACAATAAGTATAAATACAACGACATTAACCGATTTTACAACGTTAACAGTAATATATATGTATGTCATATTATGGTAAAATGATTACAATAATGTGCGTTTCCATGACAACAATAATTGTTTAAAAAAGATTAAAATAACAAAATATGAATAAAAACAGTTGTCAATGCCAACCTTATTTTTAATCTTTCAATCTTTTTTAACCTTAAGAACCAGGTTTTCCTCATTATCTCGCACGTGAATGAGAATTCCAAAAAATTACCTCTCTAAAGTACCATCCAGAAAACATTTCCTTTCGAAATAGGTGCTATACTTATTACTTGATAATCGGGGTGAGCTATCTGGTAAAAAATGTGTTCACATCTTTATAAAACCAATACATTCACTAAACTCAGAATATAAAATTGAAAATAATACATTTCGTAAACTTTTCCGGTTTTTATTTATTATAAATACACTTTGATGAAAATCAAAAAAAATGACCTTTTTAAAGTACCACCCAAATAAAATTTGTTTCCAGAAAAAGTACTACACATGAAAATTATAGTAGAAAAAATGTTTACAGATCAAAAAAATCATCATTATAAATCCAATATATTCATCGCTTCGTTTAGAATCTAAAATTATTGAGATTTTTATGCAAAAATACCATCTTAGTTTACGACTCTTTCGGCGTAGAAATTGTGTGCCCTAAAAATCTAGTCCCGACAGTTATGAACAAAACAAAAAATAAAAAAACAGCCCAATTAGTCTATCAGTCACCAACAAAATATCGATACATTTTAAATTCTAAGCGGAGCGAGGAATAAATTGGTTTTATAATGATGTTTGTTTTTTTTTTATTTTTTTTTTTTTTTTGGTTTGTTAACAGTTATTGTACTAGAAATTTTGATCCAATTTTCAAGTGTATTTTGTTTATATTTATATAGATGTTAATACATTTTATACAGAGTGTTAAAAATGTATGTTGCTGTAGATTTCACTAAAAAATTTTATTTAGATTTTGACCTCAGAGAGAAATTATGTGGTTTTCTATCATAAGTCATGCTTCGATTTTATAGGGTACCATCATTTCTGAAAACAAATTATATGATTTTATGATACCTTTGTTGTTATAATGATTATTAATAATAATAATAATAATAATTAAGAAAAACGATTTTCAATTTTAATTTTTGTTGTAATTCAGTTAAAAAATAATTCTAGACATTTAAAATATCCACAGTATACATACTGGCCTTATTTAGAAATTATAAATTGTTCAAAAAATTTTGGCCATTTTTGAGCTATATATGATGGGCATTTAAGATTACTCATAGTTGTGGTATTTTTAAGCCAATAATGAGCCATGAGGGATGTGGGGTATAACCCACGCACGATACTGAGGTTGTCTATACTTGAGTTCATATATACATGTTTATAAACAATAATATTGATAATTGTCATACAGAAATCGGCAGAATCGAGACAAGCGAACCGAGCTCACGTCAACGCTTTATTTGTCAAACAACTATTTAAAATAATAAAAATCGTCATACCCGGATTTTTATCGCCGGAATTTGGGATCCTACTGCTCGTGGCCGCGTCGCTGGTGGCCAGATCTTACAGCGACATATGGATGATACAGACCGCGACGGTCGTCGAAACAGCCATTATAAGTATGGACACGGATTTGTTTAAAAAACAACTGATGTATTTTTTCGCCGGAATGCCGATCGTGAGTATCTGTTGCCCACAATATTATTATTATCAACATTTTCGAACGTCATTAATATATACTTAAAACTTTTGTAGATTTCCTTGGTCAACAGCGTATTAAAGGTAAATATTATAATTTCAAAATCTCTAGTCTTCACTGTATTTCGAATCAATATTAAATGTTGTTTTACCATTTGTCTTTTGTAGTGGAGCATTGGAGAGTTGAAGCTAAGACTTCGAACCAGACTGTCACATCATCTATATGAGGATTATTTAAGGTACCGGGTTAAAAAAAAAAATGTATTAAAAAAAACCTAAGTAGCCTGTATTTTATTAAACAATGTTTAGAGGATATACCTATTACAAGATAAACAATTTGGACAACCGCATATCAAATCCAGATCAGCTGTTAACGGCTGATGTTGATAAGTTTTGCGATATGTTCACTGATTTGTATTCAAATATCTGTAAACCATTTTTGGACATTGTTATTTACGTTTATCAGCTAACACGCACATTAGGATTTGAAGTAATTATAATTTCTATCTTCATATTATATGGATTATAAGTTATAATCCGTATGAAACAAGATTTTAATTTTTAGTTTTACTTTTCAGACACCTTCTGTGATGTTGGGTTATTTGATGTTGTCAGGAACAGTTCTCACCTACCTCCGACGACCGACTGGAAAAATGACTGTCATAGAACAAAAATTAGAGGGCGAATACCGATACATCAACTCCAGATTAATTACCAATTCAGAGGAAATAGCTTTTTACAACGGTAATAACAGAGAAAAACTCAATCTGTTAGCTTCGTTCAACAAATTAGTAAGTATTACAATATAAATTTTGACTCTTAGTAAGAGTTAACTGTTGACATGAATAAAAAAATATTGCCAATATTTAATTATTACAATACATCCCAATAAAGAGTATCTATGAATTAATAATCAATTAATTATAATCAAATGATTCAATTTACATTATTGCATTTTTTTTTTTTTTATTGTGTACCAAGTCTGTTCTTACTGTTTTTGGTTATAATTGACCTAATTGTGTACCTAATTAAAATTCTCACAATTTCAACTTACTCTAATCAAGTTATTCATAATACCTATTATACTTTGCAATATTAATTTATGTATTTTTCCTGACAATATTTATTGTGTTTAACCTAATTTTGGACAATCTGTCGTACCTCTCATTTCTTTTATATTAGTATAGTTTATTATAATTTAATTATAGCTATAATAGTAAACCTAATAATATAGTAAATACTTCTTTATATTTTTGTTTGCTCATAAAATGATAAATGCTTTCAGCCAGCAATGCTAATAGGAAAACAAATTGATCTCTTATTGATACTTATTTATTTCTATAAAAAAAAATTTTAAATGTCGATTATAAAATGTATTAAATTATAATGATTTAAATTTAATAATTTTGCAAAGTTTTAATGACCCAGTAATTAACTTTTGTTTTCTAACATTTTTAGACAAATCACTTAAGAAAATTCCTTGAATTCAAAGTTTACATAGGTTTTTTCGATAACATTATTGGAAAATGTAAGTCATCAAAATTATTTAGTATTTATATTGTGTTCTAATTACAAATTTACATTTAAAATAATTATGTTTTATTTCAGATATTGCTACTGTCGTAGGATTTTATGCTGTTAGTATTCCTTTTATGAGTTCAAAATCGTTTTTAGCCAATACTATTCAAAAAGAACGTTTTCGAGTAAGTTTACAACTACTACATTAACGTGGTAAATATAATGACAGTTTTTTGATAATAAATTATTATCAAGAATTTATATTGATTATATACTATTGTTTTAATTTCAATTCTAATACTCTCATTGTCGGTTCATCTGTAATAAAAAAAAAACTTTATTATTATTTCACATAAGAACTAATCCGGCAATTTTTATTCAACACTGAGTGATATTTTATATTTGTTTTTTAATTGATGTTCTTATTCAAAGTAAAATTATTAGTATATAGTATACTTTATATTTGGTCCAAAATCTAATCAGCTTTAATTTAAATATTTTTTAAATATTAAAATCTCTGCGTTTTTTACAGAATTACTATACAATGGGCCGCATGTTGGTAAAATTAGCTGAAGCCATTGGTCGCTTAGTATTAGCCGGTCGTGATATGACACGTTTAGCTGGTTTCACTGCCAGAGTAACAGAGATTATGTCTGTACTAAATGATCTAAACAATGGAAAATACGTGCGGACCATGTTAACTGATAGTTTTACACTGAAAGAAAAGAAGCTGTCACCAAACTCTGGTCGTATTATAACTAAAGATAATGTTATCAAGTTTGATAAAGTACCCCTTATAACACCCAATGGTGACATACTGGTTGAAGAATTATCATTTGAAGTTGTATCAGGTAAAAATGTGCTTGTATGTGGGCCCAATGGATGTGGAAAATCATCTTTGTTCAGAGTTCTTGGCGAATTATGGCCGCTATTCGGTGGAACACTAACAAAACCTCCAAAAGGCAAACTCTTTTATATTCCGCAAAAGCCGTACATGACATTAGGTACACTCAGAGACCAAGTCACATACCCTCATACTAAGTATGTACAATTTGTTGGTGATATATTATGCTATGTGGATAGTTCTTATTAGTTTGTATAATAAATTTTGATCACAGAGAAGAAATGCAACGTCGTAAAAAATCCGATATAGACATAGCCCAACATTTGGAACGTGTACAATTATCGTATTTACTACAAAGGGATCAAGGTTGGGATACTGTGGCCGATTGGATGGATGTATTATCTGGTGGTGAAAAACAACGTATCGCCATGGCCCGGTTGTTTTATCATCAGCCACAATTCGCTATATTAGACGAGTGTACGAGCGCAGTCAGTGTAGATGTTGAAGGTTCTATGTACCAGTACTGCCGTGATGTTGGAATTACTCTTTTTACAGTTAGCCATCGTAAATCATTATGGAAACACCATGATGTGAGTAGTATTATTATAATGAATACAATGATTTTCATTTTTATTGACTTGATATCTCTGTAAACTACATTAATAATAATACATACTATGAAACCATAAAATTAATTTTTTAAACTCTAAAAATGTTTATATACTATGCTATGTACTCATAATAATTACTTTCTTCATTACAACGATTATATAGTAATAACTAGAGCATGAATTTATATGCATTAAAATATACCATATAACATGGAGTAAAAAATGAACAAATTTAACATTATAAATTGGTAGATACAAAAAATAAAATCTAAATATTTATTCAGCAACATGCAATGATTATAAAAAAAAAAAACATTTTATTAATTATTATTTTTATTATTAAAATTAATTACTAAATGATATTTAAGTTTTTTTCAGTAAAATTGTGACTCTGTTTGTCAATAAATGTTTATAAATTGAAAACGATTGTTAAGATCAACTGAAATAGTCTGAGAATAATAAATATATAATATTTATTAAAAATGTACTATTTTGTTCAAATAATTAATTTAGTAGTTGTCGAGAAGTGACATTTATAGTAAACAATTTATTAAAATTGGTTACATACAGATAAATGTGTACCAGCTGTCATTTAAATAACCACTCAATTTGTATTGAAATAGTTTTTCAGCCATAATAATGACCAAATTTCTCATTTTTTTTTTCTCAGTTTTACCTACAAATGGACGGTAGAGGATATTTTGAATTTAACAAAATCGATTCAGACACAGAAGAATTTGGTTCTTGATTTCTTGGGTGATATTAAAATATTTTTAAAAGCAATTATGTACAAAAATATTTATGAATATTGTAAGTTAGAGTTCATTCTTGCCAATTTCTAGTTCTCATATTATAATTTTACTATATAAATATATAAATATATATATATATTATTTTTTGGTGTTAACAAATCAAATTAGTTTATAAATATTTTTTACTTGCTATTGTCAAGGTATTTTTATATAGTTTTTGTAACGCTGATTTTTTACCAGTCAACTGAACCAATGTAATGGTTTTATGGTTGAATAATTTGTTGTATCGTACAAAAGAGATTATTTTTGTACTCGTGTTTGTAACTAAAATTTTATAATTTTTTTGAAAATTTAATAAAAAAATTTTAGTATGTGGTTACAATTATTAATGGTAATTCATTCTGTGTCAGCTATATGTTACTGTTTTGAAAATAAATTAAATAAATCGGTACACTGATTGATTAAGTCAATGACAATATTTATTAAGAATTTCTATTAAATCAGAAAAAAATAATAGCTCACAAACATTATATATTTTACTTGATAATTAAATTATTTTTATCAACCTTTACTATATTATAATTTATTTATAATACAAATCATTTCTGTGTACAATTTATAATCCTTTCCCAAATAAAATTAATATACAAAATATGTTATACTATTTTCTAAAATGTGTTACAGTAAAAACAGCTTGTTTATCAAGTCTTACAATGATAAAAAATAATAATAATAATAATAATAACACGGTAGAAAATTTACAAAACTCCGTTAAGCATTGAACAATTTAATTATTTTTGTTTGCTCTTTCAAAAGCGCACAAAATAAATTAATGTTCTTGAAAATGCCAATCTAACGGGCCGTATACAATTATATCACAATTTCGCGTTGACAACTCTTAAACATTACACCTTATTAATAACGATATAATAATATTATACAAACGTGTATCGGTGGCGGCTATATATATGCTCCGAGAAGTGTTAAGAGGAGGCAAAAATAGTTAAGTTTCTAAAATACCTCCCCTCCGAGGAAAAAAAATATATAATAATATTACACAACTACAGATAAAATATTATATTAAAAGAATGTGTATATTATACCTTTTTTTTTTTTTTTTTTTTCGATAAGTGAAACGGACGCATATAAAATTGTAAAAAAAAGCCATGGCCCGTGGGGTTCACCACACATATAACCTCCACTGATGTGTGCGTGTGTGTGTATTTGTGTATTTGTGTATTTGTGTGCGTATAAACCGCAGACGGTTTTTTCGAGTTAAAAATAGCATCGTGTATTATTTTTATATTAATATTAAAATATAGGATGCCGCGGTTAGAAAACCGAATTTATGAAAAAAAAAAAAAAAACGCTTAAAAATTAATAATATCGCGGTGCGTTCGTTTTTTTTGACCGGTCGCGGGTCGGTGCAGCGAGGGAATAACATTAAAATACGAATGAGTAATCGTAATTGCACAGTAATGTGAGAAGAATACAATATTATTATTATTGCGGAGACGATTCTATGCGATTTCGAGCGAAACAAAAGCAGGGATACCTAATCGTAACGATATTATAATAAAATATTAATAATAGTTTTTAAGGATCACAGTGTTTTTAGGTATTATAGTATATTAAAATATTATAATATAGTCGTGAAACGGTTTTGCCGCGTCTACCGCTTGTTCCTCGCGCCCTTGATGGTGAAACGCCTCCAAAAGCTCGGCTTGCGAATGTTGGAAGTTTCTTCGTCGTCCAGCTCCCTGGTCGGCGACCCGTGTCCCGAATCGCTCTCGTCCGCGTTGTACCGGCGCCCCGTCGCGCACGTCGATGAGTCGTTGCCGCCCCGCAGGAAGTCCAAGAAATTCGATTCCGACTTCATTTTACCTAAAAAACGAACATTAATTGATAAAATACGATGCGTTGCAATATTACTACCGGAATATTGGTTTGCACAATATGGCTCACGGACCGTGGCCCGGCGAACACCGTTTAATTTTTTGTTTTTTTTTTTTTTTTTTTGTTTTGGACCTGTGCCTGGACTTGTGGGTGTAGATCGTGGGCCATGGGTAATTGGAGATGTGAGACTTGAATACCGTCGTAGAATAACGAGTGTGAAATAACGACCAATACGAATTGATTACCTACTGATTTGTTCGTAAACAAGTGGGCAACGTGCCGAGATTTTCGTATACCTAACCAGTGCGCCCCACTCGTTTTTTTTTTTTTTAATACACCTACCGAATAAACCCGTACATTATTAATTGATGACTTATTAAAATCTCCTTTTTCGTATTTATTTATATTATTTGTTTTTTCAACGAATATTAGGTACACTAGGTATTATAAAATAATTATTTAGGTAAGTGTCTATATTTGTCTTGTACTATAACTACCCATAAACCCGGAGAGTTAGCGGGGTACGCCCGGGAACTGCGAAAAATCATACTTGTTATATACATCAGTACCATAGCCAGGAGTTTTTTCGCGAGGGAAACCTTTGGTTTTTGATGACCAAACCATATGATCAAAAAATTAACTTCACACCGCACTGCTGACAATGTCACGGGATAATAATAGGTATTAGGTTAGGTGAAACAATATGATTCACCAAAAAACAACACGTCTCGCAACATTCAGACAACCAATCACGGAGAGGACGCTTCCGAAACGTTTTTCTCTCGCACACATTAATTGTTTTCATTAGGATGTTATACCACTCAACATAGGGTTTCAAAATAAACTCCCCTCACCTAAAAAATATCCTACCTAAAATAAAGCGGATTGATAGTTATACCGTAAACAATTAGATGGATTCCGCTCCTAACCTATCCTCCTTCCGCCCCCTCCCCCTTTAACCACTGGTTATTCTCCATCCCCGGGACGCCGGGTTAACACAGCATCGTTGTATCAAATATGGCATTAAATCGTATTTTCAATTCACTTAAAATATTATTGTCGTCTGACATTTCGAGATGAGAGGCTCAAGCCCCGGCTCCTTAAAAACAAATATCAACACGCTACTGGTTATGGCAGTAATTAAGTAGGTACATAGAAAATGCCTGCGCTTTGCTCAAAATAATTGTTTTGTCGACTAACGGTTTTCTAGAAAAAGTTTTCGAAAAAATAAATGGTCCAATTTTTGATATACAAACCAACAAATGGAGAGAACGTAAATACATAATGATGGACTTTGAATTCGGTTTCGAGTATAATAAAAGATAATGCTAAAACGAAATCGGTATGACAGGGTCCAGACCCGATGTAAACAACGATATTTTTTGTTAAACTGCAGGAGTTCGAGGAAAACCCTATACAATGTAAAAACCTTTATGGAGACCAATGTTAAGGTGAAAGGGTAGTGTTGAAAACGGCATTGCGGAAGGAGAGCCGAAAACGCAATGGACAGAAACTGCAAAGAACAAGTATAACTGACAGATTTTGTATTTAGCGGTACGGTTTTAGTAAGAGCCCAAGTCCGAAAATATGTTCCAACGGAGACCTACAATACGGTGAGACACCCCGTATAAGAGTAGGTATAAAAAGCACTGCTGTCGGCTGAAGTCTATGAGAATTAGGTACGCTATTGATCTAAGAAAAAATAAAAATGAAAATCGATCAATTTGAAAAATAACCTCAAATTCGCACTTTGGAAAAACTTTAAAAACCGATCTCGTGTTTGAACACTTGTCCTTATATTTATTACGAGTATTTTATTCTAGTGTAATCAATGTTGCTACCATGAAAATCATAATGCGAATTTGTATAAAAAGAAAAAAAAAACCGTTCATCGCGTTAAACAGTTCAAAAAATAAGTAGCCATACTGTCTGCCATTCAAAAGAGTCTGGAAGAGTGATAACGGCCAAACGCAAAAACGACCACGCGCGGAGACCAATGTTCAGTTCAACTTTCACATCTGGCCATTTCGGATATGTGGCGTGGACATTTTTGATTTGCCTATCCGCCGTTATCACCGACCATCCCCGCAATGTGACGGTTTCGCAGAACTTTTACTCGCCGTGAAAATAATCGTTAGATACTTGGGGTAATGACTTATCGCGCCCCCGTTAGGTCAGATCTGCACGACAGATCGTGTCTAATCGACAACGGACGGGCGCTCTGTTCCCGATCGGCGGACGGTTTTCGCGCACGACGCGACGGCCGCACTCCGAAACAATCAATTTTTATTAGTATTGTTTTTTTTTTTTTTTTCTAAATCTCCCAACTCGATCTCCTCCTCGTGATAATAATAATAATAATAATAATAAACCTAACGAATCGGTTTGATGACCGACAGAGTGCAACAACGCGTACCTATCTATAATACAGTTTAATGCGATTTTTGACACGCCTCACGAACCAATCGGTCGTAGGCAAGAGTTGCCGGCGTGTGTCGATTACGTTTCGATTAATAATTAAAACGCGTTCGTTACGGTTCGTCGAACGCTTCGTATTTAATTAAATGCCGAAAAGACCCGAGAACCGTTATGTTAAAATATGCATATATATATATAGGAGATGTTAACTACCAAGTAGCCTTGTCGTAAATTATTTAAAAATAGGTACCCCCAGACGCACGTTTTTCAGGCAGTGACTATAAAAATTAGAAAAAAAAAACAAAAAACCGATCCGACGCTGCTAATGGATGTGCCTGCGGTGTTCGTCGAACGGCATCCGGTAACACACCATTCCGACTTCTGATGGTAGAATACATAACGCTGTGTAATTTATATCGGCTGTCGATGAATGATTTCTAATGAAATACGATTCCGAGCGGAGTCCGATTTTTTTACGATTTTCGTCAAGAATTTAAACTTGACAACTTTTTTTTTTTTCGCCACTTATAATGGTATAACACTATAATTAACGACGAGTCTCGCGTACTAGATACAGTTTTCTTTTTGAAAACAGTAAAGACGTTACATTTGAAAAGCGGAGCTAAGTTTCCGGTAGAAAAGTTAGTCGCGGATACAAACGAAAAAAAAAAACACACATGATGATAGTCGGAGACATCAAGGAGACAGTGTACGCCACCGTGCCTACAGGTATCCTTACATTTATACAGATTTTCGTCGTACGCGTAGAACGGAGTGCGTATTATATCTCAGTGGAGACGGTTCGCCGTGGTTCGATAATCCGGATTTTCGAAAAAGTTTCGAAATCTGAAATCCAGAATCCGGATCACGGATTTTGAATCGAAAATACTCGAGTCTCGTGTTTCGAAATATCGGAACGTTCGGCACTCGGAGTGTGAAACCCGGATGCCGAAGGATGACGCCGATTTGTTTCGCATCGCTAACCCGTACGAGGTCCGTTATATATCGTTGCGTACGTCGGATCGGCGCCGTCGCCGCGCCGTAACAATAACTATCACCACCGTTTACGATAAACGATCGTTGATAATGATAACGAGTCGGCAGGACGGCGGGAGAAGGTGTGCGCGAGAAAACCGAGAAACGAAAACCCATTACGGACCGCGAACCCGCGCGCGTGCCGCGACCCGCGACAACCGTGTCGGCCGAGCGATTATTGGCGGCGGTCGTGCGGGCGGGCCGCGCACCGACGGGCGGGAGGCCGCGGGGTCGTCCGCGTCGGGTCGCGCGCGCCCCCCCGCGCGGACCGTCTCGGGCGTCGGGCGTTCGGAAACGGCCGTCGCCTCGGCGCCCGCCCGAAATCGCGCGGCAACGTCGACTGCGCAACGCCGCGCGAAACGGTGTCGTTATTGTGCGTCGCGTTCACCGCGCGATTCGGTAACCGCGATGAACGCCCGTCGCGTCCGACCCCGCGGGACGGTATTGTCGGTATTCTGGTCGCGGCGCGGCGTGTCCGTCGCCCGACGTCCCGACGGGCCGTTCGACTCGCGGGTAAGAGAGCGCGGGGGGTGGTTACCCGTAGCCGCCTAGCAGCCCGAGTACCGCGTACCCGTTTAAAATGCACGCGCGTTGTTCCGGCCCGGCGCCGCTTTTCCTAGACCTCGAACGCGTTCGTGAAACCTGTCCGGTTCGCGAGCTTTATCGAGTGGAGAAAAAAAAAAATTAAATAAATAAAAATAGATTTACGGAATCGTCAGTCGTAACGGTTGCCGATCGGACCGAGACTCCCGGTGAACAAGAATCGTTAACATTAGACAAGCGCGCGTCCGTTGCGGCAAAACCGACGGGTACGCTCGGGAATCGCGAAAAACGTAACGGTTTGTTTCTCTATTTCAACTGCGACGCGCGGTACGGTCGAAATAATCGCCGCGGAATATTATCGTTCGAATGCGGGTACACGGACCTTCCGCGCGCGTTAACGCCGTTGTACCGAATCGTCCGTGTGCGGTATGAAAACAGATTTGATTTTTTTTTTTTTGATTTTTCTCGCGAAACCGCCAGCGTTCCCGACGCGCTCGCTCGTCCCGCCGGCTGCTGCGAACGCCGTAGGCATTTTCGGTCTAAACGTTTTTTTACCACAAGCGTTGTTTGCGCCGCGACATTCGAGCGTTTTACTACCGCGAATTGAAACAGTGTAGGTTAATAAGGTCGCCGCACGGATTCGCCGTGACGATTTACGGCGTGCCTCCTCCACAACCGAAACGGCCGAACGAAAGTGCAGACCGCGGCCGCGCGATTGACGTGCAGCAGTGAACTATACGTGTAACTGCACTATGCGCCAATACCGAATAGATAAATAGGCAGACGAATAACACTTATGGTATGAAAAACGCGAAACTATAACAACTGTTCAACCCCGGTCGTTTCGAACTCTCTGTAAGACATGAGCTGCAGACTTTTAACATGTTTCGGTGGCGGGCTGAAGCCCCCAACACTCCCTCGCCCCTGCCCACAAATGCGCCCCTTGTTAGGTTCGCAGCTCCCGATGTTTAAGTGGGAAAAACTTCGCGTGTGCACCATACAATAAACGTGTTTACGTACCG